TGTAGGTCAGCTCAGCTCGGTCTGCTTGGGCATCGAAGTTGTCGAAAAAGCTCTGGGCTTCAAAGTCACTGTAAAGTGATTGTATTTATAGGTTAAAGACGGGGGGGGCCTTATGTGACAGGGGGCCGTTTCTGAGAAAAGGGGACCTGTCACCAGGTGTGAGAGGGGGCCCTGCGTTCCACCACATGTGAAGTGTGGGTGGTCTTGTTGTGGGAATCTATCTCGATTTTGACGTTATGACTTCTATCTCTTGCTTAGCTCAACTCTTAAATCTATTACAGATTTGTATTTATTTATTTATCCACTTTGTACAAATTACATTACATATGATGATGTAAAGACACATGTCAATAATACGTATAATCATTAAAAGCTGTGTTCTATTATACAACATTAAAATCTTGTTATAAGTTATATACATGGGGTTGTTGGCTTAAATTACCATATATATATATATATATATTATATTTAAAAAGAAAAGATGATTTTCTGTTTGAATTTAGATCATATTGATGATTATGCTATGGTGGTGCAGTCGTGGTTGAATAATCTTGAAATAATAATAAAAATATTGGTTTTGATCAGTAATTGTTTTTATTGTGCTATAGGATAAACATAATTTGGTAAAAGTACTGCCTGGCTTAAGGCGTAAGAATAAATAAAACAAAATATTATTTACATAATGTACAAAGTTTTGAGCCGACCAACGGGGAAGAGAGAGAGTTTCTTGAGAATCCGGGCTAATTGGCCTACAAATAAGGTCTTCTAGCCCTACTATGGCTGCAGAACGCGAACTGGTGGCAAGGGATCCTAGGATCTGGCAGTGGAGGTGTCATCGCAGGGGGGAGAAAGCTAGAGAGGTCAGGGAAACAGCGCCTTGATGGGTGAGAAGCCTGGATGGAGGCCAGTTGAGGAGGCAGGAGGTCCTGGGAGCCTAGAACTTGAGGGCTCTAAGCTTCAAGATGGGGCAGCTTGAGGCTCTCGCCTCGTGCCAACGGGGAAGAACAACAACGAGTTTTATATTCAAAGTGTGACCTCTGGCGGTCGATTTAAACAGAGTATTTATATCTATGAAATTATAATTTTAAATAAAATAGCACTTTAACATAATTCTAAATAAAATATTTTAATTTAACATTTTAAATAAATAATTTTAATATAACACATATATATATATATATATAAATACACCTATCCCCCGATTTACACGGTAGATACGTTCCTGAGAAAAACGTGTAAATCGGGGGATAGGTGTCCACAGAAATAAAAATAAAATGCATTGACAGGTTAAAATATGTAGTCAGCGCATAAGCTCGGGATTCCTCGTGAGATGTGTACACAGCGCATGTGTTCAATAACAGTAGCATTTAGTATAGTGCGATAAAAACAAAAAAACAAAAAAACCTTATTTGGAAAACCGTGTAAAAGCGAAAACGTGTAAAAAAGTACCGTGTAATTCGGGGGATAGGTGTATAGCTAAATATAAAGGGATATTATAGTAATTAAAGATCATCCTTTGTTCTTAAAACCAAAACTTAAAAAAAAATTCTTGATGGTTTTTATTTATTTTACCTTTTTTTTCACAGAATTTATCCATGTGGCCCACCCTCAGTAGAGGAAGACATTGAAGAAGGAAGATAAAATGTAAGTAAATTAGAAAATAACGGAACGTTAGTGCGCATGCGTGTACTAAGATTCGGGCTTTCTGATTGGCCACAGTAGATTCGTATATAAAAGGCGTAAAAGATAGTGTGAAACGGTGTCTTAAAGTTAAAGTTCCACAGAGTGTTAAACAGTTTGTTGAATATATGCAAATACGTGACGCTTTAGATATATTTTAGAAACTCATATATGTATATATTGTATATTTAAACTGTATAATAATGACACTTTTAGTATATGTCACATATCTTCCAATTAGTTATAGCCGATACCTTAACACACGACACGGTGACAAAACGTATAACTCCAACAAACATTTCTACTGACCCAAAACCACAAAGACACCTATAGTTACAATGTACTCACCAATATAGACAGTGAAGTATGGTATCACATGTTACAATGTTACAGCTGTGTTATTGTCCTTTCTTCATAGTTCTTTGACGTTGGTGACAAAACGTATAACTCCAACAAACATTTACACTGACCCAAAACCACAAAGACACCTATAGTTACAATGTACTCACCAATATAGACAGTGAAGTATGGTATCACATGTTACAATGTTACAGCTGTGTCATTGTCCTTTCTTCATAGTTCTTTGACGTTGGTGACAAAACGTATAACTCCAACAAACATTTACAGATTTACATGTAAAAAATAATACATTAAAAAAGTCAAGTGTTGATATTAAAAACAAACAAAAAAGGCATTTCCTGATCGCACACATGAGCATTTTTTGATGGCAGAGCGCCATCTAGTGGAAAAAATCAACTAAACGTTGATTTGACTTGTTCAATATATATGGATTTCGAGAATTTCTGCCCTTCAACAGGAGTACATAAAAACGAATAAACGCTGTTAAGATGAAAACTAATTATATATCTATATATATTTAAATGTATACATTTAAACCTGTCTATAGTGCCCCCTCTTGGGACTCACCAAAATAGGGTGCTATAGAGAGGGGGTGCTATAGACAGGTCACTTTTAATGTAAATCACATCGTACTACAGTTAAACCTGTCTATAGCGCCCCCTCTTGGGACTCACCAAAATAGGGTGCTATAGAGAGGGGGTGCTATAGACAGGTCACTTTTAAAGTAAATCACATCGTACTACAGTTAAACCTGTCTATAGTGCCCCCTCTTGGGACTCACCAAAATAGGGTGCTATAGAGAGGGGGTGCTATAGACAGGTCACTTTTAATGTAAATCACATCGTACTACAGTTAAACCTGTCTATAGCGCCCCCTCTTGGGACTCACCAAAATAGGGTGTTATAGAGAGGGGGTGCTATAGACAGGTCACTCTTAATGTAAATCGCATCGTACAACAGTTAAACCTGTCTATAGTGCCCCCTCTTGGGACTCACCAAAATAGGGTGCTATAGAGAGGGGGTGCTATAGACAGGTCACTTTTAATGTAAATCACATCGTACTACAGTTAAACCTGTCTATAGTGCCCCCTCTTGGGACTCACCAAAATAGGGTGCTATAGAGAGGGGGTGCTATAGACAGGTCACTTTTAATGTAAATCACATCGTACTACAGTTAAACCTGTCTATAGCGCCCCCTCTTGGGACTCACCAAAATAGGGTGTTATAGAGAGGGGGTGCTATAGACAGGTCACTTTTAATGTAAATCGCATCGTACAACAGTTAAACCTGTCTATAGCGCCCCCTCTTGGGACTCACCAAAATAGGGTGCTATAGAGAGGGGGTGCTATAGACAGGTCACTTTTAATGTAAATTACATCGTACTACAGTTAAACCTGTCTATAGCGCCCCTTCTTGGGACTCACCAAAATAGGGTGTTAAAGAGAGGGGGTGCTATAGACAGGTCACTTTTAATGTAAATCACATCGTACTACAGTTAAACCTGTCTATAGTGCCCCCTCTTGGGACTCACCAAAATAGGGTGCTATAGAGAGGGGGTGCTATAGACAGGTCACTTTTAATGTAAATCACATCGTACTACAGTTAAACCTGTCTATAGTGCCCCCTCTTGGGACTCACCAAAATAGGGTGCTATAGAGAGGGGGTGCTATAGACAGGTCACTTTTAATGTAAATCGCATCGTACAACAGTTAAACCTGTCTATAGCGCCCCCTCTTGGGACTCACCAAAATAGGGTGTTATAGAGAGGGGGTGCTATAGACAGGTCACTTTTAATGTAAATCGCATCGTACAACAGTTAAACCTGTCTATAGTGCCCCCTCTTGGGACTCACCAAAATAGGGTGCTGCTATAGAGAGGGGGTGCTATAGACAGGTCACTTTTAATATAAATCACATCGTACTACAGTTAAACCTGTCTATAGCGGCCCCTCTTGGGACTCACCAAAATAGGGTGTTATAGAGAAGGGGTGTTATAGACAGGTCACTTTTAATGTAAATCGCATCGTACAACAGTTAAACCTGTCTATAGCGCCCCCTCTTGGGACTCACCAAAATAGGGTGTTAAAGAGAGGGGGTGCTATAGACAGGTCAATTTTAATGTAAATCACATCGTACTACAGTTAAACCTGTCTATAGTGCCCCCTCTTGGGACTCACCAAAATAGGGTGCTATAGAGAGGGGGTGCTATAGACAGGTCACTTTTAATGTAAATCACATCGTACTACAGTTAAACCTGTCTATAGTGCCCCCTCTTGGGACTCACCAAAATAGGGTGCTATAGAGAGGGGGTGCTATAGACAGGTCACTTTTAATGTAAATCACATCGTACTACAGTTAAACCTGTCTATATCCCCTCCTTTTGGGACTCACCAAAATAGGGTGCTATAGAGAGGGGGTGCTATAGACAGGTCACTTTTAATGTAAATCACATCGTACTACAGTTAAACCTGTCTATATCCCCTCCTTTTGGGACTCACCAAAATAGGGTGCTATAGAGAGGGGGTGCTATAGACAGGTCACTTTTAATGTAAATCGCATCGTATTACAGTTAAACCTGTCTATAGCGCTCCCATCTTGGGACTCACCAAAATAGGGTGTATAGACAGGTCACTTTTAATGTAAATCGCATCGTACAACAGTTAAACCTGTCTATACGCTCCCTCTTGGGACTCACCAAAATAGTGTGCTATAGAGAGTGGGTGCTATAGACAGGTCACTTTTAATTTAATTCGCAATGTACTATGTATTTAAAATTTGGCGCCATAGAGAGGAAGGCGCCATTTAGAGGTGTACATATATATATATAAAACGACACTTGAAAACGACACTGTGAAAAATCAATATTTATTTCAAGGCGAAATATTGACCATTTCTTACCCTTTTGGATGAGGCATGAAAGGGGTGAAATATGAAGAGTAATGATGAACGGAAAAATAAAAGTGTCCAGGGATGGTAAACGAACCCACAAAATTCCGCTAACCGGGCAGATGCCATGTCCACTAAGCTACCCTGGACGTATTTTTCCCATCCCTGGACACTTTTATTTTTCCGTTCGTCATTACTCTTCATATTTCACCCTTTCATACTTCATCCAAAAAGGATTGAAATAGTAAATATTTCTCCTTGAAATAAATATTGATTTTTCACAGAAAAGAAACTCATGCGGTGAAACTTCAAGTGTCGTTTTATAATCATAGGCCGCAGTTGATATGCTAGGGAATTATTTGCTGTTTTTTTTTAGTACTAAATGGTATTGGTAATGCAATCATGGCAAAAATCTTGAAAGTACATTAATATAAATAGTTTTGATAAGAATTAGCTTTAATTAAGCTTATGGAACATAAATACGGAAGACATACCTGATTTAAGGCGAGTAGAATGAAGGAAAACAAAATACTTATTTACCTAATTACAAAAGATTTGAGCCGGCCAACGGGAAACAACAATAGGTTATATAAAGGGAAGTCGCGACATCTGGTGGTAGATTCAACAGAATTTTTTTTCTATAATTATAATTTTAAAATATAATAACATTTTTATATAATACATACAGTTCAACCTGTCTATAGCGCCCCCTCTAAATAGAGCCACCCTCTCTATAGCACCAGATTTTAAATACGTAGTACGATGTGATTTACATTAAAAGTGGCCTGTCTATAGTACCCCCTCTCTATAGCATCCTATTTTGGTGAGTCCCAAGAGGGGGCGCTATAGACAGGTTTAACTGTAGTACGATGCGATTTACATTGAAAGTGACCTGTCTATAGCACCCCCTCTCTTTAACACCCTATTTTAGTGAGTCCCAAGAGGGGGCGCTATAGACAGGTTTAACTGTAGTACGATGCGATTTACATTAAAAGTGACCTGTCTATAGCACCCCCTCTCTATAGCACCCTATTTTGGTGAGTCCAAGGAGGGGGGGCGCTATAGACAGGTTTAACTGTAGTACGATGCGATTTACATTAAAAGTGACCTGTCTATAGCACCCCCTCTCTATAGCACCCTATTTTGGTGAGTCCCAAGAGGGGGGGGTGCTATAGACAGGTTTAACTGTAGTACGATGCGATTTACATTAAAAGTGACCTGTCTATAGCACCCCCTCTCTATAGCACCCTATTTTGGTGAGTCCCAAGAGGGGGGGTGCTATAGACAGGTTTAACTGTAGTACGATGCGATTTACATTAAAAGTGACCTGTCTATAGCACCCCCTCTCTATAGCACCCTATTTTGGTGAGTCCCAAGAGGGGGCGCTATAGACAGGTTTAACTGTAGTACGATGTGATTTACATTAAAAGTGACCTGTCTATAGCACCCCCTCTTTTTAACACCCTATTTTAGTGAGTCCCAAGAGGGGGCGCTATAGACAGGTTTAACTGTAGTACGATGTGATTTACATTAAAAGTGACCTGTCTATAGCACCCCCTCTCTATAGCACCCTATTTTGGTGAGTCCCAAGAGGGAGCGCTATAGACAGGTTTAACTGTTGTACGATGCGATTTACATTAAAAGTGACCTGTCTATAGCACCCCCTCTCTATAGCACCCTATTTTGGTGAGTCCCAAGAGGGGGCGCTATAGACAGGTTTAACTGTAGTACGATGCGATTTACATTAAAAGTGACCTGTCTATAGCACCCCCTCTCTATAGCACCCTATTTTGGTGAGTCCCAAGAGGGGGCGCTATAGACAGGTTTAACTGTAGTACGATGTGATTTACATTAAAAGTGACCTGTCTATAGCACCCCCTCTCTATAGAACCCTATTTTGGTGAGTCCCAAGAGGGGACGCTATAGACAGGTTTACCTGTAGTACGATGTGATTTACATTAAAAGTGACCTGTCTATAGCACCCCCTCTCTATAACACCCTATTTTGGTGAGTCCCAAGAGGGGGCGCTATAGACAGGTTTAACTGTAGTACGATGTGATTTACATTAAAAGTGACCTGTCTATAGCACCCCCTCTCTATAGCACCCTATTTTGGTGAGTCCCAAGAGGGGGCGCTATAGACAGGTTTAACTGTAGTACGATGTGATTTACATTAAAAGTGACCTGTCTATAGCACCCCCTCTCTATAACACCCTATTTTGGTGAGTCCCAAGAGGGGGCGCTATAGACAGGTTTAACTGTAGTACGATGTGATTTACATTAAAAGTGACCTGTCTATAGCACCCCCTCTCTATCGCATCCTATTTTGGCGAGTCCCAAGAGGGGGCTCTATAGACAGGTTTAACTGTAGTACGATGTGATTTACATTAAAAGTGACCTGTCTATAGCATACCTTCTCTATAGCACCCTATTTTGGTGAGTCCCAAGAGGGGGCGCTATAGACAGGTTTAACTGTAGTACGATGTGATTTACATTAAAAGTGACCTGTCTATAGCATACCTTCTCTATAGCACCCTATTTTGGTGAGTCCCAAGAGGGGGCGCTATAGACAGGTTTAACTGTAGTACGATGTGATTTACATTAAAAGTGACCTGTCTATAGCATACCTTCTCTATAGCACCCTATTTTGGTGAGTCCCAAGAGGGGGCGCTATAGACAGGTTTAACTGTAGTACGATGTGATTTACATTAAAAGTGACCTGTCTATAGCATACCTTCTCTATAGCACCCTATTTTGGTGAGTCCCAAGAGGGGGCGCTATAGACAGGTTTAACTGTAGTACGATGTGATTTACATTAAAAGTGACCTGTCTATAGCATACCTTCTCTATAGCACCCTATTTTGGTGAGTCCCAAGAGGGGGCGCTATAGACAGGTTTAACTGTAGTACGATGTGATTTACATTAAAAGTGACCTGTCTATAGCATACCTTCTCTATAGCACCCTATTTTGGTGAGTCCCAAGAGGGGGCGCTATAGACAGGTTTAACTGTAGTACGATGTGATTTACATTAAAAGTGACCTGTCTATAGCATACCTTCTCTATAGCACCCTATTTTGGTGAGTCCCAAGAGGGGGCGCTATAGACAGGTTTAACTGTAGTACGATGTGATTTACATTAAAAGTGACCTGTCTATAGCATACCTTCTCTATAGCACCCTATTTTGGTGAGTCCCAAGAGGGGGCGCTATAGACAGGTTTAACTGTAGTACGATGTGATTTACATTAAAAGTGACCTGTCTATAGCATACCTTCTCTATAGCACCCTATTTTGGTGAGTCCCAAGAGGGGGCGCTATAGACAGGTTTAACTGTAGTACGATGTGATTTACATTAAAAGTGACCTGTCTATAGCATACCTTCTCTATAGCACCCTATTTTGGTGAGTCCCAAGAGGGGGCGCTATAGACAGGTTTAACTGTAGTACGATGTGATTTACATTAAAAGTGACCTGTCTATAGCATACCTTCTCTATAGCACCCTATTTTGGTGAGTCCCAAGAGGGGGCGCTATAGACAGGTTTAACTGTAGTACGATGTGATTTACATTAAAAGTGACCTGTCTATAGCATACCTTCTCTATAGCACCCTATTTTGGTGAGTCCCAAGAGGGGGCGCTATAGACAGGTTTAACTGTAGTACGATGTGATTTACATTAAAAGTGACCTGTCTATAGCATACCTTCTCTATAGCACCCTATTTTGGTGAGTCCCAAGAGGGGGCGCTATAGACAGGTTTAACTGTAGTACGATGTGATTTACATTAAAAGTGACCTGTCTATAGCATACCTTCTCTATAGCACCCTATTTTGGTGAGTCCCAAGAGGGGGCGCTATAGACAGGTTTAACTGTAGTACGATGCGATTTACATTAAAAGTGACCTGTCTATAGCATACCTTCTCTATAGCACCCTATTTTGGTGAGTCCCAAGAGGGGGCGCTATAGACAGGTTTAACTGTAGTACGATGCGATTTACATTAAAAGTGACCTGTCTATAGCATACCTTCTCTATAGCACCCTATTTTGGTGAGTCCCAAGAGGGGGCGCTATAGACAGGTTTACCTGTAGTACGATGCGATTTACATTAAAAGTGACCTGTCTATAGCATACCTTCTCTATAGCACCCTATTTTGGTGAGTCCCAAGAGGGGGCGCTATAGACAGGTTTAACTGTAGTACGATGCGATTTACATTAAAAGTGACCTGTCTATAGCACCCCTTCTCTATATCACCCTATTTTGGTGAGTCCCAAGAGGGGGCGCTATAGACAGGATTAACTGTAGTACGATGTGATTTACATTAAAAGTGACCTGTCTATAGCATACCTTCTCTATAGCACCCTATTTTGGTGAGTCCCAAGAGGGGGCACTATAGACAGGTTTAACTGTAGTACGATGTGATTTACATTAAAAGTGACCTGTCTATAGCATACCTTCTCTATAGCACCCTATTTTGGTGAGTCCCAAGAGGGGGCGCTATAGACAGGTTTAACTGTAGTACGATGTGATTTACATTAAAAGTGACCTGTCTATAGCACCCCCTCTCTATAGCACCCTATTTTGGTGAGTCCCAAGAGGGGGCGCTATAGACAGGTTTAACTGTAGTACGATGTGATTTACATTAAAAGTGACCTGTCTATAGCATACCTTCTCTATAGCACCCTATTTTGGTGAGTCCCAAGAGGGGGCACTATAGACAGGTTTAACTGTAGTACGATGTGATTTACTTTAAAAGTGACCTGTCTATAGCACCCCCTCTCTTTAACACCCTATTTTGGTGAGTCCCAAGAGGGGGCGCTATAGACAGGTTTAACTGTAGTACGATGTGATTTACATTAAAAGTGACCTGTCTATAGCACCCCCTCTCTATAGCACCCTATTTTGGTGAGTCCCAAGAGGGGGCGCTATAGACAGGTTTAACTGTAGTACGATGTGATTTACATTAAAAGTGACCTGTCTATAGCATACCTTCTCTATAGCACCCTATTTTGGTGAGTCCCAAGAGGGGGCACTATAGACAGGTTTAACTGTAGTACGATGTGATTTACTTTAAAAGTGACCTGTCTATAGCACCCCCTCTCTTTAACACCCTATTTTGGTGAGTCCCAAGACGGGGCACTATAGACAGGTTTAACTG